TAAAATATGATCAGTGTAATGAAATTAAGGAGCACGAGATTGGCAATGAATGCAGCACACACTGAGAAATTGAGATATGCAGGCAAAGTTCTGGTTAGGTGAAGTGAAGGAAGGAGACAGTAGGGAGACATGCTTAAGATAGGCGATGATGTCAGAATCGAAATTACAAAAAGTAGTGTGATTGGACATATCTGGCTTTGGGTAGGGAACAGTGGCAAACGTTTTTACGTTTATTATTTTGCTTTCCGTGAACAGAAATTGCGTCTAGATATATTGTTAACTTTGAAATTATAGAAGATATTTCCATTTTTCGGCCATCATCGGGTGAACTATTTCCCCTACATTCGCCAATGTATAAATGTGGGTGCATTTTGTATCGATGGCTATTTACTGTTAGTGGAATGCCTTTATATTCATAATACCGTATTTACGCATGTATAGGCCGCGTGCGTGTATAGGCCGCAGCACAATTTTCAGACAGAAATTATGGAAAAAATAATTTTCTTGGAATATTATTTCAGGAGTAGAAATTATTCCGAAATTTGGCAACGTTTTACATTCCTAAGTTCGCAACTAGCGAAAATAATTCGAATATAAGCCGCACCCCAGTTTTCCTCTTGAATTTTTGGCAAAAAATGTGCGGCCTATACATGCGTAAATACGGTATATTTTCGCATTATCTCGATTTGAAGTATCACTTGCAGTCTTGTTTTCCGGCAATAATGCAGCGGTATGAATATGGAGTACAAAGAACACAAATCAACACAAAGTACAAGCAACCAAGGGAGCGGTACGCCCAAAGGGGCGCAGAGCGGCTGCAATATAAATGATAGGAAGAACAGACATCATATATCACAAGAATTAATAATAATAACGATGTGCTTTGAGAGCACTACTGACAAAGTGCACAGTGCTGCCGTGTGTTGCCTGAACATGGTTCTGTATGGCCGAAACATGTAGCGCATAAGCATAGCATGTATAAATATTTTAAGGAAATTTTAAACTTTTAACGAACATTTTAGTGACTTCAATGTTTATTAGTGTCGCCTGATTCTGTATTGATATTGTTGCGTTTTAGACGGAAGAAGACTACAAGGGGGCTTTATATTCGTCTTAATTAAAATATTGAAATATCAGATTTTGTGGTTATGATATTTCTTATTACTTAAAACGACTTGATTGTAGTCGACGAATATAACTAACTAAACTAACTTCATGGAGCTGAGCTCTTCTTGAGAAGTGGCAACTTGTGCAGATACTCAAGAGCTTCCCAATATTTTATGGAACCCGAAGGTTCATTACCATGTTCCCAAGAGCCTTCCACCGGTCCCTGTCCTGAGTCAGATCAATCCAATCCATAGAACCCCACAAGACCCATTTTAACATTATCCTCCAACTTACGCTTTGTTTTCCTAATGGTCTCTTTCTTTCTGGCTTCCTCACCAATATCCTACATGCATTCATCTCCTCCCCCATTCGTGTTACATAGCCTGCCCATCTCACCCTCTTGACTTGATCATTCTGATTATACTTGGCGGAGAGTACAAGTTATGAAGCTCCGCATTATGTAGTTTCCTCCAACCTGGTGTCACTTCATCCCTCTTCGGTCCAAATATTCTCCTCAACGCGCTGTTCTCAAACACCCTCACTCTATTTTTGTCCCTTAATGTCAGAGACCAAGTTTCACACACATACAGAACCACAGGCAAAATTATAGTTTTGTATATTCTAATTTTTATGTTTTCGGACAGCTGACGAGAAGACAAAAGGTTCTGGACTGAATGGTAGCAAGTATTATCCGAGTTAAATCTCCTCTTACTTTCCTCCTGAATCAGGTTTTATTTTGTTACAGTCGTGCACAAATATGTGAACTGTGCCATATTTTCAGAACAGCTGTTACCTATCTTTATGTCATGATTTTGCCCTGCATTCCGGTGACGAGACACAAAACATCTACAAAATCGTTGAATTGTTTGCGGTGCAGTTTTGTGTCGCGTTGCACTGCACGATGATGTCGGGTTTTATACCGTAGTTCTTTCAGATGTTGTCTTACCACGTATATTAGTGAGCGCTGGACGTTGTCGTATTTCTTATTTGTTCGGATGCTTTAATTACGGTCGGTGGATATAAAATGTTAAAATGGATGTCATATACATTTGTCGTGTTGTATGCAATGTAAGCTGACGCCGTGTTTTATCTTCGTTAGCCTTTATGGTAGTTCTTGTGTGTGTGACGTTATGTTGGTGTGACGGATGTGGGAGGGAGCTGTCAGCTTCTAACTTGTGATGTTATTCTAATATTTGTATAGAGGTAAAATGTAAAGCTATCCCTGTAACAGGCCGTGGATGCCCATAGGTTTGTGAGACGTCGAGGCTCCCACATTATATTGACAGTCGACTCACAGATGGCGTGAGGCTGTTAGTTTTACGTGCCGGCCGCTCTTTACCCCAAAAAAGATTCCTCGTACTCCTTTCTATTAGAGGCTGAGTCGAATCCGGTGTCACAGTACGGCTGGAAGGATTAGGTCAAATGAAATATCCACTGACCTCATCTGGAATCGAACCCGCTACCTTCCGGTTTGTAGCATGGTTCCTCAACCAACTGTTCTATCGCTTACAAACCCCCACCATATACCGATATAGATATAGAATATGAAGAATTTGTTAATTTCGAACAAAGCAAAATAAAGCAAAGTAACAACGCTGAAGCCTAACTAAGCATGCTTACAACTTTCGGCCTGCAGTAACATACGAACACTTCATTCATAACACACAAAAGAAATCAACGTTAGCAACGCAATTTGTTACCGCGCACGCTATACTGTTCAAGTGACGCATCGAGGCGTTATGGTGAACTCCCATCAGACGTCACTACACTCGTCCATCAAAGGTCAGCTCGCTCTTGCATTTACATTTCGTACGCAAATATAGCGGGAAAACCAAACGATAATGTATTTTAAAGGGAAAGAGTATGTGCAGTAAGATATAACAGTCAGAAAGAAACGGGAAAGTGAATAACTGTCAACCAGCGCTCAGGAGAGTTGCCTAGTATTACGATTGCTGAAATTGTGACCATAAGGTCTGGTGGTAGTTACCCGAGTGATGGGTCTTTTTTTCCCCCTTGTGCACTACTCCCCCAGTGGGCCTAGGCCTACCTCCATGAACTTCTCCGTTCACTTCGGTTTTTCTAGATCTTACACATTTTGTAGGACTCCTTGGGCGGGTGATCAGCTCGTCGCAAGGCCTCTACCTGTACACAAACACAGAAAAACGCACACACACAAACTAAACATCCATGCCCTGAGTGGGATTCGAACCCACGATCCCGGTTTCCAAGCGAGCGAAGACAGTACATGCCTTAGACCGCTCCGCTACCGTGACCGGCCGTGATTGGGGTTGAGGTAACCTTTTTATAAATCTTCTACCCTCCCTACGCATTGTGTCGTGTTTAAACATTTGGTCTCATCCCTTACCGCCCGTCTCAGATGCTGCTGTCTCTGCGCAGTAACAAACGACTGTGATAAGCGTGAGCAGTCTTTTTGTAGAGCTTCATTTGTTTCTGCCGACGTGGTATATGCTGCGTGATCTCCCTTTATGGTTATTGCTCTGTTATGGAAGAGACTTAGCACGGGTCTCATTACTTGTATATGACTTCGAACTGCTCCCACACACGTAATTTCCCTTAGTTCATTATGAATAACCGAAGCAAATGCTGTAAAGTAATCCGCAAATAATAGGCGTCTTTCTATTATATTATGTTACACGGGTCTTACATAAAAATTGTGATGCCATTAAAGCACGGTTTGTTCATGGTCTCTCTTTTGTAAAGGAATTCCGACCTGAACTTACTCCAGAAACAGGTGTTACAATTAATCATTCTTACTGTAAATTTATATAAAACTTGTATGACGCACATTTCAAATTAGTTCCTCTGTAATTTTCACAGTTGTGCCCATTACCGCTCTTAACAAGAGCATGTTATGGTATCTGTGCCCAGCTTCATTACCGCTCTTAAAGAGAGCATGTTATGGTGGCTGTGCCCATCTTCATTACCGCTCTAAAAAAGAGCATGTTATGATAGCCGTGCCCTTCATTAACGCTCTGAAGAAGAGCATGTTGTAGTAGCTGTGCCCAGCTTCATTACCGCTCTTAAAGAGAGCATGTTATGGTAGCTGTGCCCAGCTTCATTACCGCTCTAAAAAAGAGCATGTTATGGTAGCTGTGCCCTTCATTAACGCTCTGAAGAAGAGCATGTTGTAGTAGCTGTCCCCAGCTTCTCCGAAACATGTCCGCTCTCTCAGCATATACACAGCGTGAGAGAGTCCGACGTAAGCAAGCGGGTATGAGTTCCAATTCCGCAAGAGGAGACTCATACTCGGAATGTATAAAAACAGGACGATGGATAATGTCCAGAAACACACATCACAAACTTTTTATCTCATATTAAGCTGAACTGGTTTCTTTCCGTCTCGAGACACGGAAAACATGACTTTCCATGTTCGTGTACAGCATTCCGTTGCAAGGAAGGTAAAATTTTCCATGCTGTTAAGACGTATGGTGGAGCGGATATTTAGACCCACGTAATTTTAACCTTGGCACTAGATGGAGGTGAATGGTTGGTTTCACACTCCTGCCGCTTTACCCCGGTACCTATTGGATAAGATGATGTGTGAAGCCCAGAACCGGCCTGGACCACGTAGAGAGGAGAAAATCTTGCCCCTAACAGGATTCAAAGTCTGACCCCTCGGCCGTCCAGCCTGTAGCCAATCGCTAAATCGACTGAGTGATAGCAGCTTATAGAATGATAACCGGTAGGAACTGGTGCGATCCGGGTTCTTGATTCGATGTACAAAGTGTTTGGCTTCATCCGGAAATATTTTCATGATTTGTGCTTATTAATTAGCCGCCTCCTAGGAGTGAGTCACCTAGTACCTCTCCTTTCCTGTACCCAAGACACCTTCTTCAGGTTAGATCTGCTCATGGGACGCCTCTTGTTGGCAGGTATTCGATGTGCACAGCGGGGTGAGCAAGTTCCTGCTGCCGGGAGGAGTCGGAGGCCCTGCGGACAACGAGGTGCAGGTGCCCTGGGGAGTGGGGGTTCTGGGGCACGTGGCTGAGACCGGGGAGGCAGTTAACCTTCAGATCGCCTGTGAGGTGAGAGTGCATATTTTGATTTATATATAAGTAATGTGACATGTCAACTTACTGCCAGGCAACGGTTCCATAAACACCCCACGATGCACGCACTCAGCAATGAACAAGAAGTTTGTGCAACCCACTTCTATGCAAGGACGTCACATTCCAAAAGTACTAGCTTTCACGTGAATTGTTTTCTGTGTTGTCCGTGCGGCGCCTATATAACGCAGGCCTGTTTGCGCTGGCAAGGGCCAGCAGTATATACAAAAACAAACTGTCAAAAAGTAATAAATATCTGATCATAAGGCTCACATTGGGCTCGACACCAAAAATTGACCGTCAGTCGCAATGTGACTCTGACTTTGACTTGCTTACGAAATTTACACTTGGCGAAAGCTAAGCATATTCATGAGAGACAAACCCAACAGAGAGGATATTATATAAGGACCATTAACGCAAGAGTTCAGTTGGAAAAAAATCTTCGGTCATGAGCCTCAAGGGGCCTGGGGCAAAGATGAACTGATTGGCGGTAAACCGGGAGTCGTAAAGTAACTTTGACTTTGACTTTGATTTTGACTTAAATTAATGGAGAGTCCAGCAGGGCGCAGCAGTTGAGAGTACAAGAACGAAAATGGGGAGTGAGTACAGAGGAGTACAGAGTGTTTGAAAACGAAATAAGAAGAAGACTTCATAGTGTTTTGAAGTGCTAATTTCTGTGCTGAGATTGCTGCCAGGAGACGACTAGTGAAGACAGAGAAACCTACTGCGTGTGCAACGGTGAACTGGAAAATGTGAAAATAAGCAATAGCGCTGTATTGCCTGTATTTAAATGTGATTAAGAGAACTTGTAACCAAGGTGCTAATAAACCCAATCATTGGAACTAGAATCCATCAATTATTTACGACACATACAACGATACACGTGGCAATATGTTACGAAATGTAGGTTGGACTTACAACGTGAACTGCACAGCTACAGGTTGCCAAGACAGACCGGGACAAGTTGTCTTCACTTTTCTCTGTGTGTGAAGCAGTGCCTACATGTTGCCATGGTTTTCGGTCTGGTCAATATATGAGCCATAATATTTCTTGACAGAAATTAGGAAACTTTTGCGAATAATTTATACATATATTTTTTTAATTTCTTTGGGTGGTGTGAGACTGAGTCCACTTGGTGCTGCGACCACTTCTGGCCTATTGTACCAGCCTCGGATGATAGATGATGGTGATTGTGGAGCAATTGGTGGAATGAGAATTGGCAGAGGAAACCGAAGTACTCGGAGAAAACCTGCCCCAGTGACACTTTGTCCACCGCAAATCCCACATGACGTGACCTGGGCTCGAACACTGGCCGCCGCGGTGGGAAGCCGGCGACTATGGCGCGGCCTTTTGCATAATATAACTAACTCTGTGGTAAATAATAATTATTGAGAAGCTGATACTCGCTCAGCTGATCAAAATATTCCATCCATATACGAAACCCGAAGGTTAATTACAATGTTCACAGAACCCCACTACTGAGCCCCATCTTGAGCCAGCTGAATGCGGTCCACAACCTCACATATTTACTGACGTGAATCATGACGGGAGGTCAAGTGTTCGTGACTGCGTTCCGGACATCCGTTAACCTTTGTTGGGGATGTGTGCCGGATCCATGAGTGTATCCACCACAGATGAAGAATGAGCACGGAATAAACTATATCTGAAATGAGGGTCAGTTAAGAGTGGGAAAAGCGGCAGGAGTATGACTTTGGGCCGAGTGAAATATTCTGTTCTCACGGAATCAGGGAACTTGTAGACTCGTGGAACCACATGCATTAAAATGCATGGATGTGATTAAAACGACCAGTTTTGAGATCGCTTCTTAAACAATTGTAATAAAATTGCATTTAAGGTTTCCACCGAGAAGATGGAGGTGACATATTCCTCCGAAACACTAGTATCCACAGACACTATGTAACAACTTAGAAGTGTGACAATCCAAACCTGCTACAGTTCTCCGTGGACGCTGTGGTCCTCTTTGGCTATCTCGGAAGGGTGAATTGTTTATTTGTGAGACCAGTTTATTAGCATGTTATGACTTGCTTTTCGTATCTGGACAGAAAGCAACTGCCTTGTTTTTGTTTACATGCAGTTGGGAAAATCGGAAGGGGACAAGGTCACCACGGGAGGCAAGTCTGTAGTTTTCCAAAGATGTGAATTTTGTTTTGTTGACATGTGTAGCTGTCATAAAGTGTCTTCGGAAGGGTGTAGCTGGACCCTGAACTAAAGAAAATAACCGCTTTCACATGTGGGGTTCAGAGTTCTGTATGTTGGGGACTGTTTTATTCTCAAAGTTCGTTATGTGAGTGGCTTGTGCCGATTGCATAATGAATTTGGCTAGTTAAATCAACAAACAGAAAATGAATTCTTGTCTGGGAGAGAGACCGTCAATTCAAATCCTTCTTGGGGGATGAAGCGATGCTCCCGCAGGAGGAGTCTTCAAAAGCTTGGCGTTTTGAATTGATCGGAGTCAGACGTCACTGGGTTGCGCTCCTGTGTTTCTCTAAATTCATCAGTCCTTTACTTTGAATCTTTAAAATTTGATAATAGAAAAGGGTCATATTACTCCGTGCTTACAAATTAAGTTATAATTGTTTCGCTTCTGAATAATTAAACAGTTTATGGACAGTGGAAGTTGTGTTATTGATTTCGAGCAGTGGACTGGCTTCAGATATGCAGTTTCCGGTTGCCTCAGTTACACGAGCCTGATTGGAGTCAAGTGATCTACCGAAGCTGGCACATAAGTACAGAGAAAGAACTGAGGACAGTAACAGAAGAAACATTGAGTATTTTTACACCCGTCGACACAACAGTTTCTTATAAAAATATAAATGTAGATTATTTACACTAGAATCTTGAAGCCTTAAAACACGACATGTTTCGACCCTTATTGGGTCATTATCAGGTAATTTTTTTACTTAGGTGCTGAGCTTGTTTTTAATATGGATTCATATTTTGAATATGATTTTATAACCTGTAATATTATGCTTGGTAACGAAAATTAGAAGATCACAAAATAAAGCTGCTGTCTGTACTTATGTTTGTATAATTTACGTGCATTTTCTTCTGATTAAAATTTATTGTATATATATATTAGATATTCAGTTAATTTTAATCATATATATCCAGCCCAGTGAACAGAAATTGGAACCTCTTGCCACTACAGCATGTTCATTATCAACGTAACTTCAGAGTAAATTTTACGTTTCGTAACGCTGTTTACCCCGCCAAGCCCGCCTGTTGCAAAGCAGAGTGGGGAGTGCTCCTCCTGTTTCCGTGATTTGCAACGGTTTCTACACGTGTTCCCTGTTCAGGAGGAAAGAAAGTCGAGTACCAGGACAATGCTGTCAGCGACCCTTCAGAGAGAAACCTTTCAAAGTATAACAAAGTGATATGAAGACTCAATGCGATTCTGTTACACGCGTGTAGCGGAAACTTTGTTCAATGCCTGGAAGTAAAGAAACGTTACACAAAAGTGATCATTTCTAGAAGAGAAACAGACTTATAAGTCACAGTGGGGAAACAAAGGAACATGTCATTCTCAGTATGGAAAGGAACATACCACTTGCAGCATGGAAAAAAGACACAAAACGCTCAGTGATATTGTAACATGACGGCTGAAAAGTCCTTCGTTGCCAGGCAGCGGTAACGCTAAACACTATTCCACGGCAACAAATTAAGACGCAACAATAGAAGAACTGTTGGAAACGTTGTCTCCAACTTGGCCACCCTGTTCCTGGGACATATAAATACGGGGGCATATCCCTCCAGGATGGGGGAGGCTCGAATCTGAGATTATTAAAATGGAATCATGAGCCCTGCGGTACTCGAACCTGAGAATGACTGCATTGGCGAGGACCAGCAGTAATTGCAAACGATACCCCCATCCTCTCGTCAGAGATGATATTACATAAGGACTATAAGCGAAAATGTTCAGTTTGGTTTTAAGGGGTTCTCACCAAGACGAACTGATTGGCCGTAAACCGCCGGTAGTAAAGTAGCTCTGACTCTGAGTTAGTAAGATATGATCGTGAGTCTCGCAGGACTCGGAACCAAGAATGATTGCGCTGGCGAGGACCGGCAACAACTGTAAACGACAGACCCATCCTCTTGTCAGAGAGGGCACCCTACGTCAATTACGTAACTCTGTTACAGTAATAAAAATTAGGTGTTGGTCCCCAGATGGGGGCCTGACACCAAGACAGACTGGCTGACTTACCGTTGGTCGTAACATAACATTGACTTCGAAGCCAGCGGGTTGACAGTCATGGCTCGGACGTTTTAAGTCGTGAATAAGTTGTGGGACGTGCGGAGGCCGTTAAGGACATGTCGCTTTTCCGCCTAAATTTATGTATACTTAATACGAGTATGAAGCAATTTACTTTACTAATCGTGAAGAACCTGATGTCCCGTCGTTAGTGGCAATGAAGCATACAGCAAACTGGATTTTAAAGCGGTGTACTTCGTAGATAGTCCGACGTTTCGGAAGACTATATCACTCCCATCTTCAGGAACGAACCGAAAGAAGAGGAAGAAAATAGCAGAAGCATTCAACAACCTTAGCTGGATGCGGTAGGCTCCTCGAAAACGTCGTGTTCTCTTGAACTTTCACGGCGTTACAACCCGTAAGACCGCACTGTTACAAATTATTTAGGTTATCAACTCATAATTTTCTTCATTCTGCTATTATCGCCCCCTGTTCTTGTTCCTGAACTTTCCCTGCGCAGTTTCTTGGCTTACAATCTTAAAATTATCTCCATTCATTTGATTTGGATTCTGAAATAAATTAAATTTAGATTTCTTCTCTCAAGATCCAGATATCAAACCCGATTTGTTGTTGTTGATTTGGTTGTAACAAAGAATCAGTCAGTTAGGACATTTCAATTATTTCACAATATTGTAATCTCTTGTTTGTCCCCACGCAGCTTCGAAATTGAGGGATTGTCCGTCATTGACTGTTCGTGCAATAGAACTTT